GAAGTTGCTTTCAACTGGCGCAAAACCTTGCATTAAAATTCCATCCTGTAGAAAATTTGCCCCTTTTCGTGAAGTCGGCGTTGATCTCAGTCCAAGTGGACTTCAACCAACCACATCTCTCCCCCCGGACTTGGACTTGGAGATTCGTTGAGTCAAAATGAAGCCCGGAAGTAAGCTTTTCCCAATGGTGGATGGCTCATAACTAATTCCTCTTGTGAAAAGAGTTACGCCCGTTTTCGGTGAAGCCGCGCAGCTTTTTCTCCTTCCCGGGATTCATGTTAACCACCTTTTAGACCAAAAAGAAGGTTGGCTTTTCGGCACAAAATTACTGGCCTCCCACCAACTTTTGGTGTCCTCTCCATGTGTGTGGATACATATATGTGGTTTGGGGTTGCAACAGTGACCTCCAGGGTGTTCAACATTGCATTTGAAGAGGAGGGGCAAAAATGGAGAAAGAAAACTTAAGTGGCAGGCCATAAACTTTTAGGATCCTCCCAGTTGTGGTAGAAATCACAAATATGTGGGTTGAAAGTTGGCAACACTAAACCCTAGGGCTGTTCAACATTGGCCCAGAAGGAGAGGGGTAGAAAGTAATTTTACAATTACTGCGCGCCATGGGTTTTTAGGCCCTCCCAGGTTTGTAGATCACAGATGTGGTTGAAACGTTGCACACTAACCCTAGCAGGTCGTTCACATTAGCCCGGAAGTTGCGAAAAACGGGCGCCGGGAGGCTCCGGAGGAGAGATAAACGCGTTGCTGCAACAATTACTAGCCTCCCACCCTCCAGTGACCCTCCTGGATGATAAAACAGAGGTACCTGGCCATAAATTGAACGAAAATCCGATGAAAAACGAGATTTTCGGGGCCCCCAAAAAACACGCAGTTCGGGAATCCCGAAAAACTGGGCTGTTTAAGCACGAAAATGGCGTCGAGCCACGAGTGGGTTTCCAGGACGCCAGTGTCCCTCAAAAGGGGACAAATAGGAAGTCATGCCAAAAATCGGAGCAAAAGGAGATGGTTAGAGCGGTTCCCGGAACGCGAGTGCCACACGGCCTGACGGCCCCGAAAACCCGGAAACCGGAAATCAGAAATGGGAAAAATCGGCCTACGGCACCAAATGTAGCCCTACGGACATTGAGAGATGGTCTACGGGACCTCTCCCTTCCTCAGGAAAAGAAACAGAGGAAACCGGATCTGGTCGCAAACCGGAGGCAAGGGCACCAGAAGAAGGGTTCAGAAGTCCGGAGGTAGGTGCCACGGCCGTGACTCTGAAACTTTGACAAGCAACATTATGCATATCACCAAGTTGCTCAACTGGGTGACGTCTGAGTCTCAAGGTCGGCTCAAAAATGGGGGGTGTCTACATGGTAGGATTTAATCTGTCGAGGGTGTGAATTTGAGGTGTCAGGGTTACACTTAGTTGTGACCTTCGGGTTCTATGAACATGTTCGATTTTGACATATCTTGGATGGAATTGGTTATCCGCCAAATCGGAGTGATTGATTTGCTCCAAAGAGGGTGATCGGTTTGCCACCACCTAGTGGAACGTGTTTCATTTAGGGGGAAAGAGAGGATTCCATGAGCATGACAAATCGTAAAATGCCAGTGGATTGAATTTCTGTATGGTTACAAGTTTGATCATTAATGAAGAAGCTCAATCGGAATTCAAATGTTTTCCGCGTGTAGTTTGTGAATACGCTGACGTTTTTTCTAGGATTGCCAGGATTATCGCCACACATTGAAGGTAGATTTTTAGTATCGAGTTACAAGCGGGTACTGCACCAACTACCTAACAACCCCACCGTTATGGCTCCTGTCGAACTTCGGAATTGAAGACGCAAACTTGCAACGAATTTACTGGGAAAAGGGAATTTATCCGACCAAGTACCTCACGTGGGTGCACCAGTTCATTTTGCAAACGAAAAAGGAGAAACCATAAGATTGGCATAGATTATTGACAAACTCAATCGGGTGACGATCAAGAACCGATATCCACTTCCACGGATTGATGACCTTTTTGACCAACTTCGATCAGGTTCGAAGAGTTATTCAAAGATTGATCTTAAGATCTGGCTATCATCAATTGCTGGTCTGCTGATGATGACATACCAAAAACTGCTTTCCAAACCCGTTATGGCCATTACGAATTTGGGTAATTGCCCTTTGGTTTAACCAATGCACCAGCCGTGTTTTATGAGCTTGATGAATAGATTTTTACTCCGTACTTGGACCAGTTCGTTGGTGGTTTTTATTGATGATATTCTAGTCTATTCACCGTAAAGAAGAACACGAGCAACACTTGAGAGTAGTTCTCCAGGTTTTTAAGAGATAACCAGCTGTACGCAAAAGCAAGTAAATGCAAGTTCTGGTTGAAGGAAGTCACATTTTGGGACATGTCGTGTAAGAGCATGGAATCGGCTATAGACCCGGCCAAGGTATAAGCATTATTAGATTGGAAGCAGCCAACTTCAGCATTTGAAGTTCGTAGTTTGCTAGTTTCTTAGGGTTGGCCGGCTATTACCGACGGTTTATTCAAGACTTTTTTAAACTAGCTAAGCTGATGACTCGTCTAACACAAAAAGGGGTAAAATACGATTGGAACGAAGCATGTGAACAATCCTTTCAAGAACTCAAGAGGAGATTGACTAGTGCCCCAATACTCATCATTCCGGAGCGAGACATAGGATATACAGTATATTGCGACGCGTCCAAGGATGGGCTAGGCTGTGTGCTAATGCAAAAAGGGAAGGTGGTGGCTTACGGCTCTAGGCAACTGAAACTGCATGAAAAGAATTATCCGACACACGATCTAGAGTTGGCAGCAATGGTTTTTGCATTAAAGCAGTGGCGTCATTATTTGTATGGTGAACAATTTGAGATTTTCACGGACCATAAGAGCTTGAAATATTTGTTCACGCAGAAGGACTTGAACATGAGACAAAGACGGTGGCTAGAATACCTCAAAGATTACCATTTTACTCTATCTTATCATCCTGGCAAAGCTAACGTGGTGGCGGATGCCCTGAGTCGCAAGAGCCGGGGAATTATTGCTAGCTTGGGACTCAAGGAATGGAACATGGTCGGAACACTTAATGAGTTTGGAGTACAGATGAAAGCTCAAGACGAGAAAGTATACCTTGGCACTCAAATTGCTACGCCCAAATTACTGAACGAGGTAATAGAGTCAGAAAAGTATGATCAGGAGGTGGCGTTCGTAAAAGTGCGAATAGCATCCGGCGATCCTATACCTGATTGGATGATTCATTCAGATGGAAGTTTGAGACATCAGGGTAGAGTGTTTGTACCACAAGATGAGTCGCTTAGAGAAAAAGTTCTGAAGGAGTTCCACCATTCGGTGTTCGCAGTGCACCCAGGAGGGACGAAAATGTACCAAGACTTAAAATGCCAATATTGGTGGAGTGGAATAAAGAAAGATGTGGCTCAATTCGTAGCCAGATGCCTTACATGTCAGCAAGTAAAGGCAGAACACCAGCGACCTGGAGGAATGCTTCAGCCGTTGCCGATATCAGAATGGAAATGGGAGCATGTAACAATGGACTTCGTCACTGGGCTACCCAGGTCACCTAGAGGACATGATGCTATATGGGTTATAGTTGATCGTTTGATGAAAATTGCGCACTTTTTTCCATATAAAATCTCTGACACTTTGACATCGCTGAGTCATCTCTACATTAAAGAAATTGTCCAATTACACGGAATTCCTGTATCAATTGTGTCCGACCGGGACCCACGTTTCACCTCCCGATTCTGGGGAAGCTTACAGGAAGCATTAGCGACCGAATTATGTTTCAGTACCGCATTTCATCCTCAAACTGATGGGCAGTCGGAACGTACCATTCTGACTTTGGAGGACATGTTGAGAGCTTGTGTGATGGATTTTAAAGGGAGTTGGGAGTGACACCTACCGTTGGTAGAGTTCACATACAACAATAGTTTCCAGGCTAGCATTGGCATGGCTCCATTTGAAGCACTGTATGGTCGGCTTTGCAGATCACCAGTTTGTTGGACTGAAGTTGGAGAAGTGAGTCTATTGGGCCCAGAGATCGTGCCAGAAACTACAGAAAAGGTGAAACTTATTCGACAAAGATTAGTGGCAGCTCAAGATCGTCAGAAGAGTTATGCAGATAAAAGGAGAAGACCACTAACCTTCGCTGTCGGTGATTATGTTTTCCTGAAAATTCAGCCCCGCCGAGGGATCATTCGTTTTGGAAAGAAAGGAAAATTATCACCTTGATATATTGGACCCTTCGAGATACTTCAGAAAATCGGAGAGGTTGCGTACAAGTTGGCTTTACCCCCACAGTTGGCTGGAGTACATGATGTTTTTCATGTATCTATGCTGCGGAAGTATATAATGCACCCTTCTCATATCATCAACTGGGAAGAAATCCAACTCAATGAAGACGCTACCTTTGAGGAGGGACCAATAGCAGTTATGGGCAGACAAGAAAAGAACTTGCGAGGGAAGACAATTCACCTTCTTAAGATACTCTGGCGTCACCATGGTATTGAAGAGTTCACCTGGGAAAGTGAAGACGCGATGCGGGCAAATTATCCACAACTATTTGAGATGTAAGGTATGATCCAATTTCGAGGACGAAATTTATTTAAGGGGGATAGGTTGTAGAGACTCTAATTTTTTTGTAATTACAATTGAAACCCTGAGCCTTAGGTTAATAGCATTTTAGCCCTAGTTCCATAAAAGTCTGCGTAAGGGCCCAAGTAAAGAATAATTTCTCGCGTTTGTTACCATAATTAAATCACAGAACACCACTTTATGATTGGAACTATCCTAAAACTTGGTTTTATTTATTTTACCTCATAATTTCTAAATTAATTCACACATTTTATTTTCATTTTATTTTTATTTCTTTTTTTTTTTTGTTTTTATTGTTCTTTCATTTATTATTTATTTGAATAGAATACTATTGTGTATTTGAATATATACATAGTTTAAATATATATATATATATATATATAATATGTTGGTGGAAGAATTGGTTGGATAACAACAAACAAAAAAAAAAAAACAAAAAAAAAAAAACAAAATCTAGATATTTAGTTCACTTAGCCATTAAGCTACCTTATACTCTATAAATTGAGAGTTTGTCCAAATCCACTTCCACGTTTTTGAACAGCCCAAGGAGAGGGTGAGAGAGGGAGAGTTGGCTCAAGGGAAATAGAGAAGTAAGAAGAAGAAAAAAAAAAAGAATAGAAAAAGAAGGAATTCTTGAAGGTAAGAACATACCTCTCCCTTAATTTCTCCAATCCTTTCATCAACTCATTCTATTGTCTAGTATGTCTCTTGTGTTACAAATTAATGGTAAATAGGGTTTTTGGTGTGTGTGAAAGTATGGGTATGATATAGTTTCGTTGTCTTGCAAATTTGTAAAATTAGGCACTGCTGCAACTTCTCTAATTGAAAAGAAATATCAAATCTATCTAATTCTCAAATCTGAATTTATTGTAGAATATTTTGTGTTTAGTGCTTGTGACAATTTTATTAGCTCCTAATTGTGTGTTTTTAGGGCTTCGATAATTGGTTGAAAAATCTGGTCCTGAGTCTCTGAAAAATAGTCCACTTTTAGCAATTTTATACAATTCTAGAAAAATCATCTCATGTTGGTTCTTCTTTCAAAAGTTAGAACTCTGAGTACTCTTTCCATCAGATTTTATTTGAGTGGAAACCATCGGGTAGATTGAGAGAAAAATTAGTTTCCCCAAAAGGTGACAAATTTGGACAGATTTTCGAATATAGTTTGTAGATGAATTTGTGGAGTGGCTGTGTAACTTCTGAAAATTGGAACTAAAACCAGACAGATTGAATATTGTTTTTGTGCAATTTCAGCCCTTAATTTGACCTAGAAGTATTTTTACCAAAGCGTTCTTGTTAGCCCTGCAGAACCGAACAGTGCTGGAAATTGTGTTCTATTATGTTATTTGTCTCTAAATGTTTCAAAGCATTTCTAATGTTGTTTTCTTGCCTTACTATACTTATGTATGATGATCATGGACTATATTTCCTCTCGTATGTTTTTCTCATACTCTTTTATATGGCCAAATTGCCAAAGGTGACCAACTTACCTAGCAAAAGATCTAATAAACGGGAAATGATAAGGGGCTGGCAATGAGTGACGTTCATCTTAGTGTTTTGGAACAATTTTATACATATGCATGACATGAATTATGATGGGATTAATACCAAATGAGTTAAGTCTTGTGTAAGCATTTTGAGTGAACCCCTAGGTTGACACAGACGTATTCAAACTCTATGCGGTGGTTTCAGGGTGTAAGCGAGCCCTTTGGTATGGTATGTGCAGGGTGTAAGCGAGCCCTAGGCACGATTTGGGGTGTAAGCGAGCCCACTTATTTGGCCGCCCCTTTTGAGGTCCATCGATGTCGTTGACCGGTAAATAACCGGGAGGTGGGCATGGGTGGTAAGGTCTGCAAAGCAGCAGAAGGGGGAGTTCTGAGCAGTCCGGTGTTTAATCTTGTGGTTGGGTAGAAGGATCTCTTTTGGGGGGGGGGGGTTCTAGATGCCTAGTCTAACTACTAATTCATAAAACCTTAACGTAAATATGTTATGTTACCTAATTTGTTTTGTGTATGGTTGATTGATTGATAGAAGATGTAGGGGTGTGTGTGTTTTTACTGGGCATTCCAAGCTCATGGCGTGTTATGCCAGGTGAAGAAGCAGCTTACGACGGGGAAGGTTATCCCGAAAACAATCAAGATGAAGTTTTAGAGCCATGGTTCACTTGAAAATTTTGGACTAGTAGTTTGTTTTTGTTTTCTGTCTCCTTTTACCTTTTGGTTTGACAATGTTTTGTAAGCCTCTAGTGGAACTCAAATCAGTTATCTATGTTATAACTCTGCTTATATGTGTATATTAAAATATTATGGTTATCTCTTTTGTTTGAGTTGTACTTTATATATTTCTCTTGTGGTTTCAAATTTTTGGGCGTGACAATATCATCTTTTTGTTTCTTTTTGAAATTCATATGTGCCTAATAAGCTTAGAGATTTCCAACCAAATGATCTAGGTTGAGGTTGTCAACATCTTAAACCTCCTCATTAGCCGCAACTTTTGGTTGGAACTGATTGGGCAAGGACCTCAAAATGTTTTCCACAATCTTGGATTCTGATATTTTTTCACCTAAATTGAAGTTGGAATTTACAATGTCACTCAACTTTGCATAAAATTCATCAAACGTCTCACTATTTCTCATTAAAAGGTTTTCAAAATTAGACGTCAGCCTTTGAAGTTTTGAACGTTTAATTGAATGAGTGCTTTCATGAATAGTTTATAAGATATCCCAAGCCTCTTTTGCGACTTCACAATTGCAAATATGACTAAATTCGTCTGGTGTGACGGCGCAAAAGAGAGAATTGATAGCTTTACTATTCCAGCTACTATTTTGGTAATCAGTTGTGTCTCACTTATCAATTTTTTTGGGAAAAGTTATTCCATCAATGGTAATCGTCAGTTCAGTCCACCAACACATGACGGATTGCCAAACTTTTTCATCAATAGATTTTAAAAATGCTCTCATCTGAGCTTTCCAAAAAGAATAATTAGATTCGTCAAGTATGGGAGATCGAACCATAGAATTCCCCTTACGAATTGAATCCATTATCACAAATCAAATAAGATCTCACTCCAATAGTTTTGCAAAAATAAAAATAGACCGACCTGCTCTGATACCAATTGAAAAAACTAAAAATCCCCGAGATATTGATTTGTGATTATGTTTTAATTTTTAAACAATAAATAATAATCTCAATCAAACAATTAAAGACAAAACGACACAACAATTTAACGTTGAAAAACCACAATTGGAGTGCCTCTAATTGTGATAAAAAAAAAATCACGGGCCAAAGTCACAAAACAATCCACTAAGAAGAGAAAAAGGAATTATACAAGTGTAATCTCAATTGCCTAGTGAATCCATGCCCGAATTGAACCAACCCCAATATGCCTCTTTCACCACTGTCTTCACCTTGAAATTGTGTTGTTCAATGGTAAATCCACAACGCTGATATCAAATCTATGACGATGAGCCACTCTAAAATCTACCAAAGCTTCAAGTCCAAATTTTCTATAATTCACCGAAGAACAACTCTCTCTTTTTGTGAATTAAAAAAAAAAAAAAACAAATCTCTTGATGATATTGATATAAAGTTTATGGATCCATTGATAACTCTTAAATCATCATGGAAACACTCTCTCGCCTTTTTCCGCGCCCCCGCCTTTCAGAAAAGGGTTTGAAAAGAAAAGCCCTCACAGTTCGGACTCTACCTATGGTTCTGAATCTAGTCTCACAAGTGCAATGTGAAACTGATAAACACCAAAGAGTCTAATCTGACAAATCATTTTGGAAAATCGATTTTGAATCAAATAATGCCAAAACTGGATTGCTTTGCCAGATTACAGAGTCGTCACCTACATATTTTATTTTTGGAAAATTTAGGAAACCCTGACTCGTGCCAAAGGCCATGTGCCCGTCATCACCAAAGTTGCCTTGGCTCGAGAACTTGGGTACGAGAGGGGGAGGTCCTAAAATGAGCACCCTCGCTCACCCGATCAAAGGATCGACCTTTACTAATTATGATATGTTATTTTATAAACCTTACGTGTTCTTATTCCGGTTATTAGGCTAACTTTACTATGTGACACACACAAGCAAGTATAGACTAAAATTGCAAGAATTGGAACAAATTCACTTCATGTTTGTTTTCGAAAATGGTTTGAATTTGCCACCCTCAAGTGGGCTAAAACGTGGATTTGTCATCAAACATGATGGGCTTTAAAACATGATTTGCCACTTCGTAAAGTGGGCTTAAAATTCACACTCGTTGAATTGTTCTAATTCAAACAATAAAGCCTTCATCCACAGGCATTCAAGCAGCTAATCATTTAAGCAAATAGCCTCATGTTAAGCATGCAAACACACGGCATTTATGGAATTACACTCATGCAATATGCTAAAGAGTAAAAAGCTTACCGAGTACTCCAAGCCAAAACAAAAGCTCAGTTAGAAAAATGCATGATCCTAACTATGTTAAATGACTAATGCAACACATGCAATAATGCAATAAGATAGGCTTGGCTACCTAATCATGGTATTTGCAACACTTTGATAGCATGCTTTGAAACACGTATTCAAATAAGTATTGAAATTGACAATGCAGTTTGAATGATGCGCTGCGCCTCGGTGCATGCAAGACAAATGAATGGATGTAAACATACAAGCATAAGGTATACTAATTGAAAATGCCCCTAATCTAACCATCAAAAGCGATTAAATAAAATGGAGAAAGACGTGGGGTTGGAAGACATATACACATGCACACTTATTACAACATTACACCCTCGCGAAGGAGGGTCCGAATGAATAAGAGCTAAGCTAATCTAAGCTAAGCTAATCAAACTAATCTAATTAAACTAATTAGACTAATTATTACAAATCAAATGAATAACTAGCAAACTACTAATTATTACAACACTTAACTAATTAGCAACTAATCAATTAAAACAACATGCACATTAACTAAACATGCAAGATATTTAAACTT